GCAGATGCGAAGATTGGCAGGCGATGCTGCGACGTTGATGAATTATGCGACGGTTTCGGCATCTGCTGCTGCTGAGGCGTCAACTGCTGCTGTGGCTGTTGTGTCTTCGGTAACTGCTGCGACCGGTGATACGGCTGCGAAGTGCTGCGACGAGTTTGATGACGGCTGCGACAGTTTTTGTAAGTATGTCCTGGTTTCTTACAAAAGTGGCAGAATGGATACTTTGGTGGATGTCCATGCTGTTGTTCTGGATTGGAGTAAAAACTTAATTGAAGTCCCTTTTTTCTGATTTCGTTGTGATTGCAGGTCAAGATCTTGCTGCTCTGCTTGAAGATAAGAAGAAATTTCGGCTTCGGAGAGATTAGGATTCATGCGCAGAAAAGCGCGCGGCTGTTGCCATTCGGGTCCAAGACCAGCCAGAAGTACCATGAGATACATCTCACGAGGGAAGTATCCTCCGCTCTTTTCCAGTTGATCTCGTAGTGTACGGACACGGTTAACGTAGTCCATGACGTTTTTGTTTGTCATCATCTGCACACTTGTCAGCTGCGAAAGTATTTTACTCACTGTTATCGTATCCTTTGCCATGTATACCCCCTTTAGATGATTCCATGCAGTTTCGGCTGGTGTGAAACTTGAGTGAAATGATCGAACGCCGAGCTGCTCCTTCGGCGACAGGTTCCGTACAAGAAATGTATACGCCGCGAGAGAGGCGTGCAAGAAACTTTGCTGCTCCAGTTGTGTTCCCACGACAGGGTACGTAAATTCGCCAGTGAAGAACGGCCATAATCCAGCGGACTGCACCAGAAGTTCAAACTCAAAGCTCCAGGAGTAGAAGTCAACACCATTAAAAGGTACGGTTGTCTTGATCTGAGTATTGTTAAGTAAATTTCGAGGCTGAAAAACAATGCCTGGTTGTTGCTGTTGCTGTTGTTGTTGTTGCTGCTGTTGTTGCTATTGCTGTTGCTGTACTTGCTGTGGTTGCTGATGCTACTGTTGTTGTTGCTGAGCAAGAGAACGACCGAAGATATAGAAAGGATGCTGAAACTGCTGCGACTGCGGCTGCTGTACGAAAGGTGAGAAAGTGAACGAACCAGTACTTGGAGCTGTAGCTCCACGCATGTAACTTGAGCCATCAAGGCTCATTCCACTGAACGCATATGAAATCGATTGCGTTGAAACTGGTGGCTGTACTGACGCTTGTTGATGTGTTGTTGTTGTTGCGCTGCAGGTGCTGTCGATGGAGCACCTAGAGTATTTACAGAAGGCGGATTCTGTTGTTGCATACCGATATTAGCATAGGCTGGTGGAGAGTGCCCAGAGGCTGAGAGACCAGCGGCGGTAGTGGAGGCATGTGCTCCAGTAGTCCCAGTAACTGATCCAGCAGTTGGTGCTGGTGATGAACCAGTCATAGTTGACGGTAGTCTTAATTCTTGATAGCTCTCATACCATGAAATAAATTGTCTGATGTTGTAGAAGACTAAGTATAAAACTGTAAACACGAACACTTGGCAAATCCTCAAGTGCTGGTCGAGGATCTTTGCTGGAATGGTAGACTAGTAAGACAGCGGAAGTCTTGTAAAATAAAAAAGGTCAAGGTTTGAATAACCTGTGTACGTGAACTTGTGAGTAATCAAAGTTAATAATGAAAAGACCTAACAAGTATTTATACTTCTATGAAAAGTACCTATTCGCTAATGTACCTGTTCGTCACTATCGCGCTATGCGCCCTAGATGATAATGAAGAGGTGCGACTGTTCGCGTGACTGAAACGACTGTCCTATGACAAGTGCTATTTGCTGACGTCATCCTACGGACTTATCTTCTACAGTATGATTTGACACTAACTACACTTAATCGACTTACAGAAATGCTAAGTATCAATTATATCACAACAGTTTCCAGACCTCGCTTCGATACATCGAGGCCCTTCGATACTTTTCCCGTACCTTCCGATCCTACGTCCAGGGTCACCCTAGTTTTCCTATATATTGTGTTGTCTTTGATTTTATTGTCATTCACTCGTTCACAGTTTCGCCATTGCCCTCCGCGCTACTCGGCAGTTCCATTGCTGGACGGACGCAATGATGGGTGAACGTCAGCGCGTCACGAAAACGTCGGGTATTTTCCGAGTGGGAATTCTTCAAGTTTTTTGCTGGAGTGGGAGCTGCGATCACGGGAACCTACCGAGCCGTGCGATGGTTTAATATCAGCAAGGTTAGTCGGTTAAACTGCAGAAAATGAGCGTTTCGTAGCTGAGAACTGTGCCCGAGTTTTTGTAGGGTACCTGCCATAGCCGCGCGATGGGTGAACATCTGCACGGCGAACCGGTCAGGTGGGGTTACGAAAATTTCTACAGCGGATAACAACACGAAGCAGATCGGCGGCAGTTGAGAAAATGAATATTTATCTACGGCATCGGACAGAGCCAGATTCTACGCGGCGCATCTGCCCTGCGTTATAGGGTCGCGCTGAGACTGGTCTCGACGAATAGAGTTTGAAGATACTTCAGTTTTCTGGATCTGAAGAAACTTGAAGCAGGGTATTTTCAGCATCGACCACATAAGATTTTCTTTTCATAGAAGGGGGAGAGAGCAGCTGTGCAGCGGTTGTTTTGTTTTATTATTTTCCCTCGACAATTAGCATCTGCTGCATTAGCATCGACGGACAGATTCTGTTTGACCGACTCAATCGACGGACAGATTCGAGCTGGCCTTTTCGAGAATTTCGCAGGTGTTTGCGAAATGTGAAGGCGTGTTTACATTGACCGCCTGAGGCAACATTGACTACTGTTACTGGACTGATTGAGCCTTCGTCCTTGTGCTGATGGACTTAACCGACTTTCGTGAGACACGGACGTGAATTCTCGCATGTGTCGCAAATGACCTCGCATTTGACAAATTTAGCAGTTCTCGGCGAAGGACTCACTTGAGAGAAGGAAGCTCTAGTGTGGTAGATAAGCACAAGGCGTACGAGGGTTGTTCCTGACTGAGGCTTGCTACAAGGCGTACGACTCGAACAATCCCGAACCAGCGATAGGGTTCCAGACCTTTCAATTCGAGACTCCTGGGCCTTTCCGGACCTTGCTTCGACACATCGAGGCCCTTCGATACTTTTCCCGTACCTTCCGATCCTACATCCAGGATCACCCTAGTTTTCCTATATATTGTGTTGTCTTTCATTTTATTGGCATTCACTCGTTCACAGTTTTGCCATTGCCCTCCGCGCTACTGGGCAGTTCCATTTATAACATATTCCTTACCGGGTTGTACTGCAATCGCGTACACCCTAACTTCCGGAAGACCAGGCTCGGTCCGATTCCGACACAACCCCGAGGCTGGCTCGCGCCGCCTTCGGCCCTTCCGACCGCGCCTGTACCCAACCTAGCCATTCGGGCTCGTCGCCTAGCTAGGGTCCTCGCTGTATAATGCTAGGCTCTCATTCTTGTACTCGTCATTATGATTCCGCGCACTCTCAATTACTATTCATAACATCTGATATCAGAGCTACTTTCCTGGTTCACCCTGCTTTCTCAGAATATTTTAGTCCCAAGGTGTGGTTAACCCTGCGGGGCTGCAAAATGGTTGTCCGTGAGCTAGAGTTATTAGCTCACACGAGTACGATAGCGTTTGCGCCCCCTGCGGTTTCTTACCACGCCCTTCCCCCTGCCCGAAAGGCGTAGCATTCACATCATGACACAGGCCCAGCTCAACGGGTTCATGGCTCAGATGCAGGCAATGCAAGCCCAAATGGCGATTTTGAACAGTGAAGTCATGAGACTTCGGACGGAGAACACTGAGCTTCGCCAGACGCGTGGTAAAGCGCGTCAGGAGTCGCCTGGATTCGCAGAGAATGATGTCAAGCAAGAAGCCAATGACGCGGCGAGCGAAACCGTTCTTGACGAGCTCGCACGGGAGTTGGAGCAGGACGACGTGCGCACTGTGACTGTGACGAAGATTAAGCTCAAGCTGGCCACGCCACCCCCGTTCAACCCTTCGGACAAGGCGACAACGGTACAAGGGTGACTGTTCAGTATGGAGTTACTCTTTACGGCTGTGAGTGTGCATGCAGGCGACACGCGCATTAATTATGTCGTGTCACTGCTCCGAGGACCGGCGTTGGATTGGTGGCGGCGACATTTGGCAATTGGGACTCCGGCAGATGTGAAGCAGGCGAAGGACGGGACTTTGGATTCTTCCAACTAACAGGCAGAACCGATATTCAGTACGACCACGATTCGCATGTGGAAACAGTAGGGCACAGCCATGTGAGCTCGTTTTAAGCACTCATCCGCCTCATCGCATGAAGCTGTGCAACAGGCGGCAAGTGACTACTGTTCAAGATTACACTTCGTCGTTCTCGTCACTTGCGGACCAAGTGGACGACCTCAGCGAAGTACATCAGCGGGCTGCATTTTGATATTCAGTACGAGTTGCAGTGGTCCCGGCCCAAGACGTTCGATGATGCTGTCCAGCTGGCGTCAAGCAGTCGGTGCACTGCAGTAGTGGGCGAGAAAGAACAACAGGGATGTTGGTCGTTTTCGTGGACAGTCTCCCCGCCCCACGATCAATGGCGTGTCTGCGCCCGATGAAGTATTTCACAGGCTATATTATAGATGTGACAAGCCAGGTCACCGAGCTAAGTATTGCCCGACGGCGCCCAAGACGACGAAGAAGGACAATCGGGAAAAGTCAGTAGCAGACGGGATCCCTACTGACGAGACTTAGTCACCCGAACTTCAGCGTTCCCACCAAGTTGTGGTACCGATACATGCTATACACCGCACTAGGACGAATAACAGGAGTGAACCTGAAGATCACCCAATACTGGTCAAAGGCAAGATGAATGGCAAAAAAAATAAGTTATTTGTGGATGGCGGGGCTAGCCACAGCCTGATCCACGTGACTGCAACGAAGCAGTTGAAGCTGACATTGGATAAATGCTTACCCAAAATTGACGCGCAACTGGTGGATGGGACGCCACTTGCGATTCGAGAACGAGCGCGCATGGTACGTATGAAGTGTGGCAACGATTTCGGATTCAGCATGCTTGCGACAACGCTGGACGGCTGCAGCGTCCTTCTTGGATGCGATTGGCTGCAAAAATATAACCCGAGGATCGACTAGACAATTGGCGAATGCAGAGTGAACTGTGCGAATGGGTGGCGCGTACTTCCGTGCTGGCGCGGGTGAGATCCGATGTCGACACGTGTCAACACCATCACCCTCCAACGAGCAGTGAAACGGGGAGCTGATTTGTACACCGTCCATCGAGCTGAAGCGACAGACAACGACACGCCAACGGACATTGACACACTTTGTGTCAGTGTCCCTAACGAGCTCACTGCGCTTATTCAACAGTACTCGGATATCTTTCCGGATGACCTGCCAGCCGGATTGCCATTTGAGCGCTCCCAAGACCATAAAAATTCACCTGGAACCTGGCACGTAGCCAACCGTCAGGACACAGTGGCGGCTAACTCTGCCTGAACTCACGGAGTTGCGAAGCCAGCTGAATTACCTGCAGGAGAAGGGGTTCATTCGACCCAGCACGTCCGCGTTCGCAACGCCCATTCTGTTCATGCCCAAAAAAGATGGAGGGCTACAAATGTGCATTGATTACCGAACGCTGAACCGGCGAATCATCAAATCTCGCTACCCAATCCCACGCGTGGATGATCTCCTGGACCAACTTCACGGGGCTCTCTTCTTCTCGAAAATTGACCTGCGAGGCGGTTACCATCAAATCCGAGTTTTCGCTGACGACTGCCACAAGACGGCGTTCTGAACCCGCTACGGCAGCTACGAGTACACAGTAATGCCTTTTGGTCTCACGAATGCGCCCTCTACATTCCAACTGACCATGAATGGCGTGTTCCGCGATCTACTCAACAAGTGTGTCATCGTCTATCTGGATGACATTCTGATCATCAGCAAGACCTGGGAACAACACCTCAAGGACCTCGACCAGGCCTTTCAACGGCTGCAGCAGAATCGGCTCATCACCAAGGGGTCTAAGTGCGAGTTCCTAAAATCAGAACTGGAATTTTTAGGACACGTCATTGGAGGAGACGGCATTAGAAAATTACCACCATCCGCGACCGGAAGCCGCCCACGAATCACCTAGAGCTGCAGATTTTTCTCGAGTTCGTTAATTACGTTAGGCGATTTATCCCCAATACGGCAGAGACAACCGGACCTTTAACTGACCTGCTGCGGAAAGGCACTCCGTTTGAGTGGGAGGAGAGACAGCAGGTTGCTTTTGACGAACTCATAATTTTTCTGATGTCGCCCCCGGTCCTCCAAATCGCTGATCCATCTCGACCGTTCGAAGTCTTGACGGACGCTAGGGATTTCGCCATCGGCGCGGTACTGTCACAAGATTTCGGCGACGGACTCCAACCAATCGCGTACGAGTTCCGGAAATTGCAGGCAGCCAAGCGCAACTACCCCGTCCACGGCAAAGAAATGCTCGCCATAGTGCACGCGCTCAAAGTATGGCGCTGCTACCTGAGGGGAGCCGACGTGACAGTACGGACAGACCACAAACCCATACATTTCCTCCGCGTGCAGTCGACCCTCAACCCACGACAGATTCGCTGGCTGGATTTTCTGGAGAGCAACTTCCACTACACAATTGCGTACAAATGAGGGGCGAATAACATCGCCGATGCACTCATACGACCATCTGCCCACCTTGCCTCCATCATCATTGCAAAATCCAACCCACTACTCATCGGACTATTTACCCACGGATACGGCACAGACCCCTTTTTCACCCGCAACCTCCACCAGCAAACCACCACGGCCAAAGGAATTTATTTCCTAAAATCTAGTACCGACCACATATGGGTTCCCGCTTACCGACTCCTCCACGAATTATTGATTCAAGAAGTCCATGATTCTAACCTATCCGGTCATTTAGGGTTTGATAAAACCCATAAATTACTCCTTTATTTTTATTAGTGGTCAGATTCGTCGTCTGATGTGCAGAGATACGTATCGGCATGCCCGACCTGCCAGCGCATGAAGTCCTCTCGACTGGTCACCTGGACTGCTGCAACCGCTCGAGCCACCCCAGAAACCGTGGCAATACGTGACGATGGATTTCGTCACGGGACTCCCGTCCGACGCAAGTGGCAACGATGCCGTCCTCGTCGTCGTCGATCGCCTAACAAAGATGGCGCATTTTGCACCCTGTCGTATGACAATAACAGCTGAAGAAACAACCAAGCTCTTCATCTCCACCGTTGTTCATCTGCACGGCCTACCATCGGCGATCATCAACGACCGCGACCCCAAGTTCACATCCAAGTTCTGGCAAGAGACATGGGAACAGTACGGCACCCGCCTGCAATTCTCGTCCGCCTACCACCCACAAACCGACGGACAGACCGAGCGCACCAATCAGACCATGGAGCAACTGATACGCACCAATTGAACCGATCCCGCCATGTGGGAAGAATTCCTGCCCATGCTCGAATTTTCCTACAACAACGCCCTATCCGTAACAACTAATCACTCGCTGTTCTTCCTCAACTACGGGATGGATCCCACTGTACTCATGACAACTAACCTCGACAACCGTGTGCCCCGTTCCTAGAAGTTTGTTAACGACCTACAGACCGCCCGAAAGAGCGGTCGAATTTATTCGCAAGTCCAACACGATAGCCCGACGCTACACCGATCTTTATCTCCAAAATATTACGATGGCCGCTGGGCAACTAGTCCTTCTCGACACGAAGAACCTCCACCTGCCCCTGCCATCCAAACTCCGCCCAAGATTCTGTGGGCCTTTCCGCATCCTCGAAATAGTGACACCTGTCACGGCGAAATTATTACTCCCGGACGAGTGATGCCGTGCTTTGCAGAACCGCCACCTTCCAGCAAACCGCCACCTTCGCCGAACCGCCACCTTCCAGCAACGAGAACTGGAGACAGAACCTGTGGAGGATTTGCTGCACCATATGGGACTGGGAGAGTGTGATCGTGCAAGTGGCATGGTCACGAGAGATCTCCAAGCCCAGATAGCGCCTCAACACCCCCAAGTCTGTACAGGTGTGCCTCCTAAGCAACTCGGCCTTCACTGAAGCCAGTTTGAATCTGTCAAGAGTAGCAAAGATAAGATCGTCTACGTACACTAGGATATAGAACAGGGCATGGCCCGTGCGAACAAAGAGAGAGGGGTCAGCAGAGGACGGGAAAAACTGCAGCTCAGCAAGAGTGGTGCATGTCGTGCCACTTACGAGGTGCGTGATGAAGGCCGTAGACAGGGCGGCGCAGGCTCCGCTCGGTCCCTGGTGGGAAGGACCCAGAGAAGCCTCGAGGGCGCCGTAGGTAGATTTGCTCGTGCTGACTAACCTGCAGGTCAGCTGTAGAGAAGTCGAGTGAGGGAAGCTCGTAGCCACACTGTGCAGCTAGGTGGAGGAGCACCCGAAGAGTAGTAATCTTCAGGCTTGGGGAGAAGGTTTGGAAGAAGTCCACACCCTTCTGCTAACTGAAGCCTCTAGCCACTTAACGCACATTGAACTTCTACAGCTCTCTAGGTGCGTGCTTCACCCTGTAGATCCACATGCCATCGACTACGTTCGCCCCAGGTAGGGGAACTGTGTTGACGTAAGTGCCTGTGGATCTGTAGGATGCCATCTTAGCCTCCATGGTCTGTATCCACTGGGCTGCCCAGGGTCCCGACACCGCCTCAGCGTAAGAGTGCGGAATATGGATGTTGAGGGCGTCTGGGTCGCCCTCTGGGGATACAAGCATGGAGCGAAGATGGGATACAGCGGCAGCAAGGTAGGCCAACTCGTACTGCATGTCCTCTAGCACTGCCAAGGGCAGGTGCACCCCTGATGGACGGAGAACCGGCAGTACCAGAGACCAGAGCGGCAGCGTAGTGGCTAGCAACAAAGTCAGCAACAACAGTGACAAGTGCAGAGACGGTCTCAGGAGGCGCAGTAGGGTCAGTGACAAGCGATGCAAGCAAACGCGAGAGGGTAGGACGAGCAGTGTGAGCAGAGTCAGAGGGAGGATCTGAGGACTGCGATAGCGACGACAGAGGAGGTAACGAAAGCATTAGAACGAAAGATCATAGGGTGGAAACTACGACGGGGAGAGACATGACAAGCACTAGAGGGACGACGGACCCAGTGGGGAAGAACTAGGGACCGGGGACGAGGGAGACAGGGGGACAAGTCAGGGTACGGAGGAGAGCGCGGGGGAAAACGAGCCAGAGAGGAGTCCGGAGGAGGGAATAGTGGGCCATAAACAAGGTCACGCACCGGAGGAGGGACGGGCAGGCGGTCAGGGGAACTGGGTGCAAGACCAAGGAGACGAAGAGTAGACTACGGCTGCTCCTGTTGCTGCGGTGGCAGCTCCTGCTGCTGCTGCGGCGGCTACTGCTGCTCCCCCGTCCTCTCAAGAACCTCCAGCTACACCTTGGCTACCACCGGTACTCCCTAAAATAGCACCCCCAGGACTAGCACCCTTGGACGTACCACCCACAGAATCAGCACACCCAAAGTCAGTACTCCCAACATCGATGCCTCCAACACCAGCACCCCCAATACCAACACCTCCAACACCAGAACCCCCAGAACCAGCACCCCCATAGCCCATAACTCCCTTCTGCTGCTGCTGCTGCTGCGGCCGCTGAGTCTGCTGCTGTTACGGATGCTGCTTCTAAGGCAAGGGGGGAGGCGGCTGAGGTGCCTGGGGTACCGAGGCCTGGGGAGGTGCCACAAGGACAGCAGGCGCGCCCCCAGCAGCTGGGCCCCCAGAGTGAGCCGACTCCCCCACGGGCGCAACTTAGGGGAACTAAGTGGTGTAGGAGACACCAAACTAGGCCAGGTGGGGTGGGAGGGGTGCAATAGGCGGGGCACAGGAAAGAGAGGAGAAATAAAGAGAAAGAGAGGAGGAGGAGGCACAGGAGCGCGACAGTGTGGGAAGCGCCCGTATTAGGGGAGCGTCTCGTCGAAGGTAACTTCACGAGAGTAGTAGAAGCGGTGGTGCGACGGGTGGTAGAACAGCCAGTCAAGGGCGTCAAGCAGAAACCCTAGGAAGACACAAGGAAGGGTGGGGGCTGAGAGCTAGTCCGCGTGAGTATCGCAGATGTGAGCAAGGCTGCCCCAGACATGGAATGCAGTTGCATCACCAGGAGACCCGGTCCTGAGAAGGGTCGGCGAAACCAGTGGCTGCTGGGAGCGCGGCCAAAGGTTAAGCTGGTGAATAGCGTAGCGCACAACGAACGGCCATAGAAAATGGGGTGCACTGGCGTGGACCATGGAGGTGAGGGATACCTCCATGACCAGCCCAATGCGTCCCTCAGGGACCCCATTCTGCTACGGGGAGTCTGGTAGTGTGTACGTCTGGCGGATGTTCCCCGCACAACAAAACTGACCTAGAGTGCCAGAGGCGAATTCGGCTTCGCGGTCAGAGTGTAAGCAAAATACAGGCTAGCGGTGCTAGGTGTGAAATATAAGAAACCATGGGAGGAGAACGGAAGGCACGTCGGCCTTCCGCTCCAACAAGAACACTGTAGTGAAGTGCAAGAATTCGTCAACGACGACTAGGAAGTAGCGCTCCTGACTAAGACCATGGACCGGGGCAGGGCCCCAGAGTCCATGTGAAGTGTCTGTAGCGGCGCTATAGTCGGAGGAAACGAGGAGGAGTGAGGGGTGGCGCGCTGCCGGCCCTCGACGCAGGAGGTGCACAGTGGTGCGACTGAAATAGGCAAGGCGAGGAGCAACGTAGGGAGACCAGTGACTAGGCTGTGCTAGGACATGTGCCTAAGATGCTGGACTGCAGGGTGACGTAAGCGGTGGTGCCGCAGAAGGGTCGGATGGGTTATTGAGTAACAGGAACAGGACACGACGACCTCAGCAGTTGCAGCAACATGCGGTGACTCAGTGTGCAGGGTAAAGAGACCGGACCCTGGGTTATGCTCAAAGGTGGCCAGGTGGCGACCGGTGGCTGTGTCTATGTAGTCCGCGTGGCGCTCGCGGCCAAGGAACGTAGTGGTGACTCCTCGGTCCTGGAGATGACCGACACCCACAAAGTTCCTGGCAAACAAGGGGATGTGCAGACCGGCGAGGGAGCCGGAGGGTACATCTATACAGGGGAGTGTGGTGGCACTGCGTGCGACAGCTGTGGCTGATGAGTCTGCTAGTGCGACGCGGACAGGTGCAGGAAGCGGAGTGAGAGCAGTGCTATCTATAAAGAAGCAACGCGACGTGCCAGAGTCTAGGATAAGGGAGAGGGCCGACGTGGCAGGGCCCAATGAAGGATCGTTAACAGAGCCTACGCCTGACGCAGCAGGGGAGTCTACGCCTGAAGAAGCAGGGGGTTCTAGACTACACAGGGCAGTAGTTCCTAGGTTACACACAGCAGGATAATAAGAACCAGTAACACTAGAGTCACCAGCATACAGAGAAAACAAAGCATGACCTATCTGAACGTTATCCAAATCAAAGATCAGAACACCACAATGAAACAACGTGGGCCAGTGGGGTACGTGCACCAGGGGGCTGTAGTGGCGACAGTAGAGGATGTCCAGGTGGCGGTAGCAGCGAGCGGTGGCGTGCCCCGCACGCCCGCACACCTGGCTTGCCTACGGGCCGGTCAGCACTTGGCACGTGCAGGTCTCCGCGCCTCAAGAGCCACCAGCACCCTGGCTCATAGAAGAGCCACGCGACCCCCAGGGCACCGACTGCCCTAGGGCCCAACCCCTACGGCCTCCGCCACGACCACCACCCCCAGGGCCCGCCAGCCCCCACAGCAGCAGCTGCTACTGCTATTACTGCTGTGGCTGCTCTGCTGCTGCTGCGCAGTCCCCGAATCCGACTGACCACCCTCTCCGTCCGCACCTGCACCCCTGCCATCCGCTGCTGCCGACCCCCCATGACCCCTGCCCCCCCCCCGCCCTTGCCCTTGTAGCCAAAAGAGCGGCCGGAGGCAGAGGCAGCCATTGCAGTCTCGGCGACGGCGGCGGAGGGAGGAGGGAGAGTCACCTGAGAGGAAGCACTGCCCTGAAATATAGGGACTGCCGGCGCGCCTGTGGAACCAGCGATGGCGCGGAGGCGGTCCTCTACCTCAGTCAGGGAGGTGGAGAAGAGGTCAAGGGTGAGCTCAGAGGGGTGACGAGTGAGGAGCACGTTGCGGGCAGGGGCAAGGCGGTCAGGGAGGCAGGTGACAAGGAAGTAGATAGTGGCATAGAGGGGGGGAGGGATGAGGGTCAGCTGGGCCTCAGTATAGGCCGCACGCCAACAGGCCTCGAGGGAGCACAGTTGCTCAACTAAGTCTGCTATAGTGGTGAAGGACGTCACACCGAGGTGGAAGAAAGGGAGGAGGAGACGACCAAGAGTGGCAGACGAGGGGGTGGAGTACCCAGCGAGGATAGCCAGCCAGAGGGCGCGGGCTGATGCAGCACCCACAAGGTGGGAGTGCTCGTCAACTGGCAGGCACCTGAGGATGGCGACACGAGCAGTGGCGTCGCGGGATGCCCAAACAGAGTAGGTGGAACGAGCGGCAGCGTGCACAGCCTGCTGCGCAGATGTCGCGTCAGCAGCAAGAGCACCCGGGCGGGGGCTAGCAGGGAGCTCACCGTCAATGCACGGCGTCCAAGTACTCACCGTCAATGCACTGACTCATGAGCTGAAGGAAAAATGCCTCCTGCCAAGCGACGAAACAACTGCCCGCCCCTCCCCATCCAGGCGCAGAACAAAGGTGCTGGGTGACGCCATGCTAGCAGCTGTGGTGGCTGCTGCGGCTGTGAAAACGGATGTGGCAGAAGTAGGGACAGCTGTGGCAGCTGCTACAGGGCCAGCAGGAACAGGTGCTGCAGTGGGAACCGGTGGCAGCGGCAGATGCTAGCTGGTGGCAGGGTGGCGACAGCAGCGGGCCAGCGGTGAGCTGGCTGGCGGCGGCGGCTGCAGGCTAGCCGCGGGAGTGGCGGCAGCAGCGGTTGCAGTGGCAGTGGCTGCTGGCGGCAAGAGTAGCTGAAGTGGCTGCTGCAGCAGGAGCGGCGGCAGCGGGAGGATCCGTGGCAATGACAAGAGCGGTGGCAGTGGTGGCTGCAGTGGCAGTGGCGGCAGCGAGAGAGCGACGGCGGCAGCAGCGGCAGTGGCGGCTGCAAGGGCAACGGCGGCAGGGGGGTCTGCAAGGGCAGCGGCAGCAGTGGCAGCTACAAGGGCAGCGGCGGCAGTGGCGGCTGCAAGGGCAGCGGCGGCAGCAGCAGCTGCAAGGGCAGTGGTGGCAGTGGCAGCTGCAAGGACAGCGGCAGCAGCAGCAGCTACAAGGGCAGCGGTGGCAGTGTCGGCTGTAAGGGCAGCGGCGGCAGCGGCACCTGCACGGGCAGCGGCGGCAGTGGCGGCTGCAAGGGCAGCGGCACCAGCGGCAGCTACAAGGGCAGCGGCGGCAGTGGCGGCTGTAAGGGCAGCGGCGGCAGCAGCAGTGGCGTCAGCAGCTGGCGGCTGCAGCGGCAGTGGCTGCAGGAGCTGCCGCAGTGGCAGCGGCGGCAGCGGCGAGGCAGCAGCACCTGCAGCAGTGGCAGCAGTGGCAGCGCAGGCTGCTGCAGCGGCAGTGGCGGCAGCGGCAGTGGCTGCAGTGGCAGTGGTGGCTGCAGCGGTTGCGGCAGTGGCAGCGGCTGCAGCGGCAGGTGCAGCAGTGGCGGCGGCAACGGCAGTGGCTCAGACAGCAGCAGTAGCGGCGGTAGCGGCAGCAGCAGTGGCTGCAGTGGCAGTGGTGGCTGCAGTGGCGGCGGCTGTCTGGCGACTAGCTGGCAGCAGTGGTTGGCGGCGAGCTGGTGGACGCTGCTGGCAGCTAGCTGGCTGGCGCTAGTGGCGTCGAGCTGGCTTATGCGGCTGGCTAGCTAGCTGGCTAACGTGCTGGCTAGCTGACTGGTGTGTTGGATGGCGTGCTGGCGAGCTGGCAGCTAGCTGGCTGGTGAGACACACGAGGGGCGAGCAGAGGCTGGCGATGGCCAGCAGGCACAAAACAGAAGGCTAAGGGCAGGACTCCAGGCTGGTGCAGGTGGCGCGGGCGAGCTAGGAAGCTAGCTGGCTGGCTAGCTGGTTGGCTAGCAAGGTGGCTAGGTGGCTCGCTGGCTGGCTGGCTGGTGTACGAAACAAGGGGAACGCTAGAGGGGGGAGGTTTTGAGACTATGGGGCACGAAATAAGAGAGGGAGACATGCGCTAGAAAAAGAGAGTCTACAGTAACGGCAGAAGCGTGAGTAATGGCGGAAAATATTCTAACCTAGCTCAATACGATGTTAGAGTAGCGGGAAAAAGTGTGACTAGGAAGGGGGGAGGGGAGATACAAGTACAAAATATTGTCCCCTCTAAGAACTGATATGTGTATACAGAACATGTGTTTGTTGACAAGCATGAGGTAGCAAACCCAGAGATAGGCTATCAGATAAATGGCTGGAGGTGATGAGGGGTTGGTTAGTGATAGGGGAAAATTTTAATCATGTCCGCCATCAGCATGTGCATACAATGCTAGTAAGTCATGAGATTGAGTATGATGCATAGGTGTGAGTCTGTGATCAAGGTCAGTGTTTATGCGTTAATCTATCGATGGAGTCATGTGTTAGTGTACATTCGTAGCGGGTGTCGGCCCGTTTCGTGGCAGAGAACTCACGGTGTTGACGATAACACATCAGCAAGATTGCTGATGTGGCGATTTTCCCGTCGCTCATTCCCTCACAGCAGTGTGGGTTGTCATACGCTACGAATGTACAATGCGTAAGTGCTAGCATCTCTAGTTTTTCCATGTGTTGTCATGAGGTTGGCATGATGTTCATCATCCTTCGGCATATCAAATAAGCACAACATACTAGTTTTGAGACGTCTCGGAATCCGTGTGATAATAGTATTGTTCTAAGACGTCTCAAAACATACCAGATGAGCACAGCATACTTTATTCTTAATGTATATAGACTTTCCACCTCGAGTGTGATCCACCCCCAGTGTGACCCACCTCGCATGTGACTCACCTCGTATGCGGCCCACTTTATGTGTGACCCACATCCTATGTGACCCACATCGTATGCGACCCACCTCGTATGCGACCCACCTCGTGTGCGACCTACCTGGTGCCAGAGGAGTGCAATAGTGCACGCCTCAAGCACCTCAGCATGCAACAACCCTAAATCTGTAACCCTGTTCTTTGCACCAAACAAACCACAACTCAGCACTGATTTTGAGTCTATTTATTACTGTAGCTAACCCTGCTCATTTACAGTGACGGAAACAATTGTCCGGATGTTTTGCATTAATTAGGGTTTTTTAGCTTTCCGTCCTGTGTACATAAACTCTTAATATTTAATGGTGGTATGCTTTGGGAGGGGCACATACTGGATGTATTCACGGTGCTAAATTCCATAATAGTACACAGGATCTAACTTAGTGCCAAAAGATATACAAAGAGTACATCCGGACAATTATTTCCCAGGACAAAGAGCAAACTTCCGAGCAGCGTTTCTAGTACCTAGTCCACCAACACTTGGCATTGATAACCACCTGCAACCTCCTAGGCATGTTATCTACGAAGTTAGTGCAAACCTTTACAGGGATCTTCTCGCACTCTTCCTAGACCCACCCTTTAACATAAGGGGGTGAGCACAAGGAAAATCGCGAAGTATTTGAGCGTATGCAAGAGTACTGTGCACGATTTCATGTTGAATGTTATCTCTGAGACTAGCCATGCTAAGGTGTGGCCAAAGATGTCATAAGTCGATTAGTCCCATCTTATCATGAATTTTCTTCGTCGTACCGTTGTAGGGTAAAATTATGAGCAGAGTGGCGAAAACTAGCGTGTCCGCAGCGAAACTTAGGGTAACATAGCACGGTCGACTGTGCACCCATTCACTAATAGAATCGCGTTAAAATCTACGGGTCTCGTCCCGGTGCAGCAGTTGAAGAAGCCCTGACTGGTGGGGGAAAATATCCGGGTTCAGGTATGGTAAGGAAAGAGGGTCACTCCAGTGCTACAAACTCATGCTCTCCAAGCCATTCCAAGCCTAGGCGGGACACATGGCTTAGAATGGCTTGGAGACCACGAGTATGTTACGCTGGAGTGACCCTTTTTCTCACCAGATCTCAACCCGGATATTCTTTCTGAACAGTCGCGACTTCTTCGACTGCTGCACCATGACGAGACCTACGGATCCTAGCGCGATTCTAATAGTGCAAGGATGCACTGTCGACCGTGCTATGTTACCCTAAGTTTCGTGGCAGATATGCTAGTTTTCGCCACTATGCTCGTAATTTTTACCTACAACGGTAAGATGAAGACGATCCATGATAAGACGAGACCAATCGACTTATGGCATCTTTTGCCACACCTAGGCGTGGCTAGTCTTAGAGATAACATTCAATCTAAAATCGTGCACCATACTCTTGCATACGCTCAAATCCTTGGCGATTTTCCTAGTGCTCACCCCCTTATGCAAAAGCGTGGGTCCAGGAAGAGTGCGAGAAGATCGTTGTAAAGGTTTGCACTAACCTCATAGATAACTTTCATAGGGGGGTGCGGGTGGTGATCAAGGCCAAGTGTCGGTTGACTAGGTACTAGAAACGCTGCTCGGAAGTTTGCTCTTTGTCCTGGGAAACAATTGTCCGGATGTACTCTTTGTATATCTTTTGGCACTAAGTTAGATCCTATGTACTATCATGGATTTTAGTGCTGTGAACACATCCACTATCTGCCCCTCTCAAAGCATACCACCA